CGTGAGAATGGTTTTTCTTTTAGGCAGGTTAAGAAAATCTCCGTGAAGAGTGATGACCGTGACTACGCGTTGTATAGACCTGGACCCTGGTCACTTCTTATATGTATATATAATGTTTAATTGTTTTATAAATTTTCATAATAATTATGAAAAAGCTTTTCACCATTTCCAAAATATTTTATCATTTCCTTCATCTCACTGGCTGATTTAGCTAGCAGTACTAGGTCATCAGCATATACTACTGACCAAATTTTCTCCTTGCCTACTACTATATCTCTTTCTTCATTTTTTCTAAGCGTTTCTTCCAAATCTATAATATACGATGTAAATAGTATTAGGCTTAAAGTACATAACCTTGTCTCTGTCCAGAACTCTGATTTTGTTCCATTTGCCCTTACAATATTACCTGTTTCCCTATATATTTCTTTTGTCTTCCTCACGAGTCCTCTACTTATATCTAATTTATTTAATACAGCCCACATTCTTTTCTTATTTATTCCGTCAAAAGCCATTTTTAAATCTACAAAGAAATCCAACAGTCTTTCTCCTTTTCCTTCCAAACTTCATTTAGGATGTATATATTATCCATTGTGCTTCTGCTTTTTCTGAAACCTGTCTGGTCGTCTGGTAGTAAATTTCTTTTTCATTTATCAGCTTTCTTAAACTATTGTTTAGTATGGCTGCGTGTACCTTGTATCCAGAGTTCAAAAGTGTGATCCCCCTATAATTTGATGCCGTCTTTGTATTAGTCCCTTTCCAGATTAGTGTTATTATCCTTTTATACCATTCTTTTGGAATTTTTAGTTCTCTTCATATTTTTTTAATTGCCTTTGTAAAACCCCATCTTTCCTTTCTCCCTATGCATATCCATGCTTTATTAGGAATAGTATATTCTCCTGTTGCTTGTTTCTTTTTTGTCTTCTGATCTGCCTCTCAATTTCTTCATCTTGCATTGTTTTTCCATTTTCCTCTTCCTCCTCCACTCTTTCCTCTTGCCCATCCTTTTCTCTTTTTTCTTTACTGCCTAATATTTTCATGAAATGTTGTCTCCATTTTTCTGTCTGAATTTCCTATTTCAAATTTTATATTTTTTATTACCTTAATCTCCTTCTTTCTCATTCTTTCTTCTTTTTCTTTATATAATCTTGTGAACTTTTTTTTTGCTTCAGGTATTTATCCTGTTTTTTCATTAATTTTTTCCATTTGTTGTACACTATTTTGATCTCTCTCTTCAGTTTTGCACATTGTTTATCTCACTATCGCTTTTGACCCATTTTGCATTGTTTCTTTCTTATTATCTTCTTTTGTATATTGTTTTTTACCAATTGCACTACTTCTTCCCAATTCTCTCCTATGTCTCCTTCCTTTGTTTCTTCACCCTTTGTTAATGTTTTGTAGTTTTCTATGCTTCCTTCATTCCATGTAGATACCTCTATCTCTTCTTTTCTCTTTTCTCTTATTTGGCCTTCCATCTTATTACTTTTATTTGAATTAAGTCTCATCATTAGTGGTTGATGGTCAGAACCTACTCTACCTAGTACCTGGAATTCCTCTATCCAGTCTAAAGCATTCCTATTTACTATTATGTAGTCAATTTTACAAAAGTAGCTCTTGCCTCTATATAAGTATGGTTTCATGCCTCATCTCCTGTCCAGATTCCATTGAGTACTTGTCATCCTTTGCCCTGTATCCATTTTTTCAATTTCTTACCTTGTTCATTTACAGTCTTATCTTTGGAGCTCCTTATAATCCTTCTTTCTTCTTCGTTACTAATTCCACAACTTTCTTCTTTCAGTCTTGCATTGAAGTCTTCTCTTATAATTAGATTCTCCCCTTCTTGTTTTTGTAATGTTTCGTCCCAATGTTTTTCTATTTTTCCTATTTCCTTTGAGTATACTGCAGCAATATTCCACTTCTTGTCTTGCATTTTTACTTTACCTACTATTATGTGCTCTGTTTGCTTAATATCCAATAGTTTTATATCTTCTGTGATGCCTATTATCATTCCACACATTGCTCTTCCTTTTTTATTTGTTTTCCTTGCACCTTAGTATTGTTTTCTATTTTCTTCCATTTTTGTTCATCTATCCATGCTTCAATTAGTCCTATGAAGTCAAATTTTTCTGTGTACCTTTAGAAATCCGGATCCTCTTTCCAAAGTCCTGCAATGTTCCAAAACATAAATTGTCTTCTCCTGCTCTTTCCTTCAACTTTTTTTGGCTTTCTATTTTTACTCACTGACAGGTCTAAAAATTTTTCTTGTTCATTATATTTTGATACGTGTTTCCTAGGTTTTTCTATTTCTTATAGTTCTTTCCAATGTTTTCATACTCCTTGAATTTTTAATTTTTGGAATCCAATCTTTACTTCCCTATTACTTTTTTTCTGCTTTTTTGCAATTTCTATTATTCTTCTCTGTATATTCCTTTCTTTTTTTGTCATGTCTATATTTATGTAAATTCTTTTTTGTCCTAGCTTACTTTTGTTTCTTAATATATTCCTCTTTTTTTCAAAGCTTTCTGTCTCTACAACTAAAATTTTCTTGTCTTTATTTTTTATTTGTTTCACTTTTATCATTTGGCAGTGCACTTTTTTCTGTATAAATTTGTTCATTTCTTCTTTCTCTCTAAATTTTGTATTCCTTTTTGCTTCCTCCAATATTATCTTCATTTATTTCATGTCTGTTTTTAAACTTTCTGTTTCTAGCTGCATTTCTTCTAAGTTTCTTTGTAGCTTTCTCCTCTGTCTTTCTTTTCCTTAATCCTTCTTTTAGCTCTTTTATTTCTCTGTTTATTTCTATCCTGTTTTCTCTTTCCTTTTTTTGAATTTCCTCTAACTTTATTAAAATCAATGAAAATTACCATGTGCCCAGTTTGTTAACTCTTTGGCTTTTTTTTATTTTTACTCATTTCTTTTCTATCTTCTTCCTATACACTTAACTCATCCCTGTACTTTCTTATGTTATTATCCTCCTTTTATCCTTTGCCTGAAATTTTTGCTTTGACCATGCTTTCTCTTCTTTTTACTTCCACTGACTTCTTATTTGTTTGCATCTCTGTTTTTCTTTTTTTCTTTTCTACTCTCCTATTAATACCTTGGCTTACCTAACCTGCGTCTACATGCAGCATGTGCGTTTCTCACATACCCTTTATTTTGATGTACAATCTCCTTAATTTCTATATCTTTATCTTTTTTTCGTTTTGTTATCTCTAGTTTACCCCTCCGTTATTTTTCCCTTCGCGTATTTCAATTTTACAATTACTTTATACCCCTAGCTACGTCGCACATATTCGTCCATACGCTACACCTAACCCTCTAATTACTACGTAGTAATATAAACATATACAGAACAGGGTGAATTTGTCGAAACGCTACACTCTCACCGATTTTTATACATTTGAAATATTTTATTGGCGTCATGATTTGAACAAGTTTATCCTATCATGTTGGCGGCGGTCGGCTTTAGTTTCTGAGATAATTGCGAAAAACTTTTTCTATTACTACGTTCAATTCTATAGCCGATAGCGCGTCTTTGAGAGAGCCACAAGACAATAATGTTAAATTTTATTTTAATAACATATTTTAAAATCATTAAAATCGGTGAGAATATAATATTTCGGCAAGTCGATCTAGAACAGTGAACATACGTAAGGAATCGAACAAAGCAATTGTAATAAGAAGGCAACAAAATAGGTAAATTTAATGATCTTTTTTTAAAGCATATTATTTTATAAATTCGTACAAATAATAACATGAATAAATAATAGAATAATAATTATATAAGTAATAATGATAAAATAAAATTGCAGTAGCTGTCATCAGTTAATATATGGCTTTGCAACTTAAATATATTATTTAATATTTTTAAAGTATTCAATATTGTAGGCGTTTGTGATTTTATTTCAATGTAAAAGGGAGAAATGAAAATTTACTATTTAAAAGAGATATGTTTAATATTTTGCAATATTTTTTTCAAAATTTTATTAAAATCAGAGTTTGATTTTTTTGGTAAGACAAGTTTGATCGTAAATGAATCGTTATATGAAAAAGAAGAAATAAACATTGTGTCATATATGTATATTAAAACATTATGGAATTACTTTACTAAGAATTTCTGAATAAAAGTTTACTTACTTTTTAATTTTGAAATATTTTTAGCAGTATTATCAGTTAAAAAATGTAACATATTAATACAAAAATCAATTGAAATTATATTACACAAATGTATACAACTTAAAGACATAAAATAAATTAATGTTTATGTAATCGAAAAATTAACTATGAATAAATTTACGTACCAACTATCCATGGCAAATCATCTTCATAATCCACTTGCTTCGTTCCATCGTTCACACTATTGCATTCAACATCGCTCAATTTATTCTCATGGAATGTGTGTTGAATAGCGCTGAGAATTTCTAATCCGTCCAATTTGTCATTATTATCAACATCGTGAGCTCTAAAATTTACGCAATATATGTTGTTATGCAATATACAGAATTCATCGGTAATAAAGTAAATACTGTACGTTGCTTACGTTAGCCAAGCCGGCCTGTGGCTTAAAAGTAAAAAGTAAAGAAGGGCAAGGAGAGACGTCCACTTGCGGCACTCGGCTTGATAGTAATCGGGGAATTAGTTTCGGCACGTCTTTATTACTTGGTTAACGTGAGTAACGTATAGTATTTAGTAGTAGTAGTAGTAATCAACCAAGTTGTCGATTTGCTTAGACCTCTCCGATTTTGATGATTTTTAAATATGCTGTTGGGGAAATGATTTTAAACAACTTTTTCTTTTATGTGTCGTCAACGGAAGGCTTTGGTTTCCGAGGTAATCGTGAAAAACTTTTGTTACTACTACATTGAATTCTGTATACATGAGCGCGTCCGTGATAGAGTGAAGCATAACTCTATGTCGTCGCATCGGTCCTCTCGAGCTCCTTGGGTTACACATGGATGCTCTTCTCCCCAAAAGTTCCATCGGTTCTATTGAGTAGTGGTAGCTTCGAATGTTGTTTTGTATAATATATAGAAATTAGTTTCACTCAGGTAACAGATATCGGTATGGGCAGGATTAGTTTTTTAGGGGATGGAGGAGTGCAGAGGCATATATTATACGAAACAACGTTCAAAGTTACCACTACTATTGACAAAGAGAACTGGTGGAACTTTTGTCAGGATGTGTACACGTAATCTAAAAAGATCGAGTGCTGATTGATGCAAGCTGCCACCGAAGTGACGATTATGTGGTTATACATGCAGTTCTCTCACGGACGCGCTCATGTATACAGAATTCAGTGGAGTAATAGCAAAAGTTTGTCGCGATCATCTCGGAAACTAAAGCTTCCGTTGACGACGCATAAAGGAAAAAGTCGTTTAAAATCATGCCCCCCGCATTATATTTGAAAATCATCAAAACCGGAGAGGACTAAGCAGATAGAGAACTTCACCTAATATTTTTTATTTTGGTCTTACATCTACCCAGAAATGGATTTGATCTACAATAATTCTCTCTCATCCTATCATATACACAGATATTGGTGGATATAGAATATTGGTAAGGAATATATATATTCAAACTAATATCGTATTAATCTGAACAAATAAACATTTATGTATATTGCAAAATGTTACGCTATCATCGAAACCTGAAACCTTTTCTTCGAATGTTAAAGCTCTTGTACTTGCTTTTACTCTTATTTTCTTCTGTTTGACTTCTTTCAATATTATAAACCCTGGAGTACATTGGTTCAAACCTAAGCAATATTTAACATACTTTAATTGTATTGTTTTCATCTTTGTGATTTCTTCTCATCCGAACAATTTCAACCCGTGAAATATAATACTTAAAACCAATGCGTCAAATATCATTATCGTTTCCTTAAAGCTATCTTTAAAAATCCTTTCTCCGGTACCCCATATTTCCCTTGCGGTAATACTCAATCTCTGAAGTTTTAATCATAGATAAACGAATCCTTTTTCCAATGAATCTTTGAAAAAGATTCAGTCTTTTTATGCTTCCATATCTATTCGTACTTCTTACTCCTTCCTCTTTCCTTCCCAAATATCATAACTTTACAATTTTTCACATATTCAATGTCACCTTTTTTCTATCCAGATACTTTTCTAAACTCCTTAGAATCTCTTTCATACTCTTTTTGTTGTTGACTATCATTATCATATTATTTGCGTAATACAGTGCCAACAATTTTTCATTTCCTATATTTATCCTTCTGTTTTAAGCTAGTTTGATTTTTTTCTCCAAGTTCGATAAAAAATAGTGAACAGTCTAGGGTTCAAAATGCAACCCTGTCTTACTTCTGTGTTCATCCAGAAGTAATAAGTATATCCCTCCTCCAATCTCACAACATTTTGTACTTCTTTGTAAATTTCTACTGCTCTTTCTAATAACTCTTGTTTTATCTCTTTCTTCTACGTTACTTTCTATAATTTTGTCTCATCAATACTATTAAATACTGCGTTTAGGTCAATAAAAGATACAAATCTTTAACCGTCATTTTTAGTCAATTATTGTTCTACCGCATGTTTATATATGTATATAGGGTAAACCGAGGCGAATTGGATCAGTTCAAACTTAACAGCGAAAAACTAATAGTTAAAACTTAGAATGAAATTTTTTTTATAAATTCGATATTAATATACATTCAGTTTCAATATCAGCAAAAAAATGCTCAGAAACTGAAAAATTTTCGTTTCTAAGCTTTAACTATTAGTTTTTCGCTGATCATTCGGGGATCTAAAAGGAAATTTAATTTTTTGTAAAAATTTCTTGATTAGTTCAAAATTGTACAATTTGAATATAATTAAATCAGATATTGGTATATTTGTTGCAAATATACTACGTTTTAACAATGTATCTACTAGCACAGTTTTCGTGACACGACTTTTCGCCCAATCTTTTGAAGGTGGGTGGATAAATTTTTTATTGCAATAAATGCAATATTATTGTGTGGAAGATCCTGCACTTATGTTATTAATTCATCTGTCCTTATTAGTCTTCATCCTTCTTTTAATAATGTTCTTTTTTTGCCTAGTCTTGTCAACTTCTTTTGTTCTTTTTCAAGAAGCATCATTTCATTGGTAGGTGATGTCAAATGCAAAATCGGTTTTTTATTTATTCGATAAGTAAATCTTCTTTGTAGAGTTATACAAGGTATGCGATAAATTTTCGGAGTTTGACGTATGGTCAGTTCTTTGGAATTAACTCTTATTATTGTGTATTTTATTGTTTCTGGTCTCCGTGATCTTTGATTTGTGTTTTTTTGAACGTTTATATATAAATAATCATAATATTTATAATCATAGACAAAAAATTAGGGAAACCCATGATCCGATTCACCCCACTTGATTTGGTCCGATCAGCCCCATTTCTAAGAATTTCAAAGTGAATACGATAGATGAACGAAATATAATATAATAATATGAAGTACATTAAATACTGAACCTAGACACTTTACAGACTAATAATAATAAACACATTTGAATTTTCCAGCTTAGCTTGCTATTTTAAATGTGAAATTTCAACTACGTATTTCAGACTAGCCACGAGTTCGGTACGTTCGTGCGCGTTCGCTACAATCTTAACATGTCTAGTAGCAAACAGCGGTTTGAAACAATTGAAGATATATTGGATTAAGTGTAGGGAAGGTGTATGAAGAAATATGGACGGTCAGCATGCTCATTTTTATAACAACGTAACAAATGTAGTCACTATTCTTATTTTTATCTGATTTGCCCTATAATTCTGTAACATACGGAGTTTTCCTGCGTTACTTTTTCCTTCTTCTGGAAGCTGCATGCTGTTTTGCGGGTCCACTGGCTAGAAAATCGTTGTAGTTGTATTGAAATAATTGTTTGAAGGTAAGAAAGTTCATACATTAGGGAAAGTATGGAGAACTTTATTATGGAAACCGAATTTCAGAGCAACAGATAGAACGAGAAAGTTTTGCAAAGTTGAAAATAAGGGTATTACTTTAATTCGTGTAGTATAGAGAAGGTAAAAAAGGTTCAATGTCAGTGCAGATTTTTTACGTGAATGGAATCTTAAACTATTAATTAATGTCGAGAGGGCTATTGTGATTTTTCCGCATTCACGAATAAGATGTGATATCGTTATAGAATCGAACAACTAGTCAGAAGATGGGTACTGACCATAAAATCAAATGGTCTTTATTTCAGAGAATAAGTTTTCTTGATTTCTGTCATATGTATGTCTGAAGTTTTAATTAAAATAATGCACGAACTTACGACTCACCCTAATAAAGCCTGAGCTTGAGTAATTGCTCGAGAAAAGTATGCATTTGTCGATTATGTAGACATCGATGGATTAGTCTTCTATTGTAGATGCGCTATTCACAAAATTCGATGAATGGAAACGATGCGAATGAATTCCGACGTCTAAATTATGCGTGAACAAGTACGCTGTTACTAGACATTATACATTCTTGACGTTACAACAATTTCAGGGTTGCATAATGTTTGCAGTCATAGACTTAGTTCGCAGAGCTAGTAATAGTGGCATAAGAGGGCCGAGAAAACGGTTATAATCACTTCATTAGAGTTCTATGGGTATTTACACGGTTATGCCATTTTGGTTGTGCAATGCTCTTCAAACACTTTAGACGTACATGAACGCTATTAGGCGAGTCTGTGTTTGCAACTGTTATGCTGACGGCGTTTTATGTGTCAAGGGAGTATGAATTAACAATAAATATGTTAAAGTGTATGATTGCCAAATAAAGGGCACTATTATATTCAAGTTATTGTAAAAAATCGTACTACTATTGCAACACAATCTATCGCATTATAACGACGTGTATTACGAAAAATAGCACGTTTCATTTGTCTTGTAAAGACTAGTATTTTGCACATTTATGTCGCGAAACGCTGTATATTTGGATTTCATTCTCAAAAAGGTATCATTAATCATATCATTGATCATTTTTTGTTTTTCAATGATAACTGAATGTTGGTGTCATATGCATTGTTTAATGCATATAAAGTAATATTTTGCTTTCAAACACATCGTTTCTAAACTTTTGTTTTCGTCCTTTTTTTATTTAAATCATATTCATTAGGACTGACGCAAAATATGCAACATTTTGACACGAATGAATAACGACAAATACATAGATCTGTTAAATAATATTGTAATTTGGTTTATAGAAGAAAATCATGGAAATGTTGTATTTCAGCAAAATGACGCACCTATCCATAACGCGAAGAAGACTAAAGAACAGTTTGCACCAAAAAATGTACCTCCTACGAAGTAGCTTTTGTGTTCTCCCGATCCGAAGTTTATAGAAAATTTATGGGGAACTTTGTCACATACAGTATATGAAAATGGGAAACCATATAAAAATATTAGACTTAGACAATTTAATAAGACGGAAATAGGAAAAAATTGAAAACTCAGCTCTGCAAAAATTAGTAACAAGTAATAAGGGTGGTAGTATTAGTTACATTAAATAATGAATTTAGATTTATTTAGCAAATGTAAATATCAATTGAAAAGACTACTTGTAGAAATTTTGTCGCAATTTTAGACGCAATACCTAATATTTTGTTTACAAGAAAAATGAAATATTTTTTCAGCTTTGTATTTCAATTGTTTAGTTTCTGTTACTCCTCAATTACATCCCCGCATTTTTCTTGCACTCTCTTATAAAAATTCTAGATTTTTCTGTAAACTAATAGTATTCTTATAGAGACTTCGTCCATTGTACTTATTATAAGAAAACCTGCCAGAAGTCTACTTGTAACTGCTGAAAATTTGAACGCTAACATCGCAGCATTATCTAAAGGAAATGTTAGTGAGGAATCGTAACAAATATATTATACTCTACTGGTATGAATAATAAAATTACCAAAAATTTTATTAACGATAAAAATGGGGAGAAATGGCTGAGGTACATAAAAATAAATTTACGTAACGTAACAGATATAAAAAAATTAATTATAGAAAGAAATACATTTCTAATCATCTGCTCATTGATATTCATTCTACGTATATGATGCAATGCCAGGGAATGAATGTTTATATCTGACTAATGAATTTCTTGATTTTTTTCTTATGAAGTGTCGCTGTCAAATGTTTACTTATTATATCGATCATTAGTGTTTAAATATACTTCTTTGATCATGAAATTTTTATTAATCATTGACATCACCTTATAAAAGTAAATTACTAGATAAAAATTCTAAACAGGCCTACTGTTCTGTGTATAATGAGATAATAGAAAATATAGATATTATTAATGTATTGTTTTCATATTAAATTGTTATCAAAAAACTAAATGTGCAAACAGTCTTTCGATCCACTGTACAAATTTGAAGAATGGTCGACTATTACTTCTCATCAAATCATTTGGTTCTTAAATGCATAACAAACAAGAATGATAAACACTATATATGAATAAAATAAAGAGAAAGATTTCTTATACCGCGGACGCATCTCTACGAATGATGTAGAGCAATTAATTCTGCATTAATTAACGGTGGAAAATATCTCAATCGAGATTACTGTACAGACTATAATAACTTTAATCGCTCGGCCCTGACACCATTCGGTAGGTTTTTAAATTTCCGTTAGTTTTGTACGGATCATATTTAACAAAAAAAATATTGAAAGTGACGAATAATAATTGTATGTACATATAACAAGAATTGTAAATAATTTTTATGTATAGAATGTATAGAATAAAAGAGAATACATAGAACTCTATGTTTAATATAAGTATTATTTGTTGGTCCCAGGAATGAGGGATTAAGAAATAAGATATTTTGTTAAAAATATATACGTACTGAAAATAATGGAATTCTATTTCCTTGTCCGTCATGTTTGAAAAGTCCAATTGTTCGGCCACATCTCCCATATCTTCCTTCAAATGACTGAAATTACACAATTATATGTTTCATTTTATGTGAAAGGAAAAAATAAATAGATATAGTTTATCTTTCATTAGAAGTTATAAGAATAAAAGTATTTTAACTAATTTCATTATTTTAATGTTTCTCCTGATAAAAAGACAAATTTATCAATCTGCTATATTAACCTTTTATGTTAGATTATCATATTTTATTATAATTACATAGTGCTCGATACTATATATATATATATAATTCCATTAAAAAAATACGTTACATTACATTAAATAAATAAGCTTCTTAGTATCAAGTAACAGAAATTTTAAGTTTTAATATTAAGTAACGTATTTTGTATATCTGTGATTTCTTATAGACTATTTTAATATTTATGTAAGTACAGAATTTGGTACTTACTTTTTCCACAAGTATTGCATAATCTTAACATTAAATGTATGAAACGAGACAATTTGACTTGTATTGAATTTTATAAATATTATTTGGTAAATGATTGGATCGATTTTGATTGATGCAGTTACGCAAATGTGTATCCTAATTGTTTATTTCTAATCCTCTAATTTCAAAGATTTAAATGGACAAATATTAAGTTTTCTAAGAACGATGGAACAAACTGTACATGTCTGTAAATCTAGTGTTAAAATTGGGCATAGTTTTTTTATGCACATTTTGGATTGTATTACTTAAGAGTATATCTATATAATGAATGATTTAATATATATTTAAGATATAATTTTAGATTTCTTTTTGTAATGGTTTAGGTAATCACACATTTCTCAAGTTTTTTTATATTTTAATAATCTGTGACGGTCAATTAATAGCTTTTTTCTTAACAGAATTTTAATTATGAAATAAATTTGAAAACGATGCTAGCTGAAACATGAACCTGCTAAATAATAGCCATTATACAGGGTGTCCCGTAACTGGTGGTACAAGCGAACAGAGGGAGATTCTAGGTGAAAAATTGAATCGAAAATGTAGAACAAAATTTTTTCATATGAAGCTTTGTTTTCGAGAAAAATAGGTTCGGCAATTTGTCAAGTACGCGGGCACCTAATCTAGTTTCAGCTCGACGGATTTCATTGTGTATCATCTCCATTCTTGTTCGTAAACGTTGCCCATGTTTGTATACACCGAATGCATCGATGATCAAGATCGCGATTTTAGAAGTTCTCACTTTTCAAGAATTCATCTAATTTATGAACTGTTGGATGTGATCCAACGTTCGTCCACGTTGTTGTAAACATAACTGTGCTCTTCTTCTTCAATAGCATCGAACGTTTTTTAATGTATCGTTACGCAATTTTAATCGTTCAAACGCTATAATAATTTTTTGTTTTACTTGTTCAACGTTCGTTATGTTATTAGTATTTACAAGCGATTTGACATGATCCCACAAATAAAAATCTAAAGCTGATAGGTCTGGAGGTCGGAGCGGCCAAGGTATTTTGCCATCGCGGCCGATACGGCAGTGATAATTTTCATTTGAGACGTGTCTTACTTCTCAATTTATATTTACAATATTTCGGAAACTGAAGGTTCTGTTTCATCAACATAAGAAGAAAGTAGAACCGATACAAGAGATATCATCATGTTGATAACCTTTTTAAACATTACAAGAAGCACAGAAATACTCTCCTACATGGAAAAGTACAATATTGAAATCCATAGAGCTGAAACTGGATCAAGCGCATGCGTACTTGACAAATTTTCAAATTTATTTCTCTCGAAAACGAAGTTTCGTATGAAAAAATTTTATTTTACATTTTCGATTCAGTTTTTCACGTAGAATCACTCCCCGTTCGCTTGTACTGCCAGTTACGGGTTACTCTCTATAACACTTGCAATTATATAGTTATATAGTTTTTATAAACATCGTTAAAAACTAGAATGTTACTTTGTTAGAAATCACAGCAATGTGGAAATGTTTCTTGATAAGTAACAACTGCACATTTGTCTATAATATATTGCTTATGTGCTATTATCATAGTATTGTATTTAGTTCAAATGGTATTTAACCTGTACATAATTTTAAAACCTTTTTAAACTGATTGTTCGTTTTTATTAATTGTAATTAATTTGTTCGTTACCTAAACAAGTCTTTGATATTGATAATGATAGAGATATATAAACAAACTTGTTTTAAAAACACATAGATTATAAACAAACTTTACTATGTAAAATATATTGACATTATAAATACGATGTGTATTTATATAAAAGATGTAGTATAGTAAGGAAAAATGTAAGTACTAACGTGGTGTCCTGCAAAAGGTTTGTGTCCTGTGTTATTTTAACGTTCTTTTGCGGAGAATAGTGATGATGAGAGACGGCACTGCGAGGATGATGCGGTCCACGAAACCCATTAGAAAATCCCGCGTATAGACTGATCAGAATTATAGTTATCATTTATTTACCTGCAACAATTAATTTCTTATTATATAATTTATACGCTTGTGTAAACCTGCGTAAAGGATATACTGTGTATATAATTAACATGGAGGTTTTTAAAAATTAATGTCTCTAGGCTTATAACTGACAGAAATGATCTAAAATTCAGTTGGGGGTTATCTCCTTAGCCTCGGATACTTAAGATTTTTTAAAGATATTTACAATCATACTTGTCTTTTAAATTGTTTTTGTGCGTCAGTATGTATTGAAAATCTTGAATATTAAAATAAAACAAACGAAATGTGAACAAATCAAAGTCAACATATCTATTATCAAAAATATTCAATAAATTTACATAATCCTTACGAAACAGAAAGTGATCCCTATCGCAGGACAGTTTAAAATATGTAGTATACATGTGTTTCAAATATAGTTAGCTAAACATTTAGGGACATCAATTTAAACTTCATGCCCCCCATCGAATCCAATTATATCTATATACAGTTTCTTCAACGGCAATTTAGCAAACAGTTTGTTCATCTTGTTTTATTATATTTCGGTTTTGCCTTTCCTTTTTATATTTTATCAGTTTCATTACACTTTTTGTTCTCGTTATCTTTCTGCTTTTTATAGTTATGTAACGTATAACATAGTTATGCTATTGTCCGGGAGTAAAAAAGAAACATTTGTGTCCAATTTCAGGAAACAGAACAAGCCAAAAAGAATTGAAGTTGTTGAAAAACTTATATGTAATATATATAACATACATATCTCCGCGATCTTACGGAAATCTATGCTGGCACTGTATCTCCAATTTGATATTACGCACAGACTGCTTTCAGGACACAAAGTGATATTATTTGTTAATTAGGTTTATGAAGTTTAGGCTAATGAAGGTCAGTACTTTTTTTACTCAAAATTTAACGTTCTTCGATATTTTGTCAGACAGAATATAGCATTCCATTAAAAAGAAACGAAACGTTTCCAATTATAAAAAATACATTACATAATGTATCCTTCTAAACCATACAACTTTTCTACAAAAAGAAAATTTTTCTTTTTCATAGAATGCATATTTTATAAGTTATTGAGGGTGAACAAGTTGCATGTATCACCCTTATATTACACATTAATAAAATTAACGCATAAATAAAGTTACTGTTTGCTAAGAAGCAATTAATCTAATACATGCAATTAAGTAGCACACGCGTGCTATCTTCAATTTCTCACGTTATAATTATGATATAGGAAAGGTGCAAATACATAAAGATTACCTTCTACTAGTATGTAAACACTACCTATATTGCAATTTCTACAAGATATTCTCTTAGGAGGAATGTAAACACACAAATAGTCAGAGACAAAATTATAGCACACTCAAGGTTTATTGTGATTTTCTTCAGTCTGTCACGAGGTTTAAGGAAGTTAAAGTGGTCAGTCAGTGTTCAGTGCTTCCTGACATTGGTATCTGTCACATTACGTGATGGGTCGTGGTAAAAGATTGTCTAACAGTGAAATAAACGCAATTCTTATTTTAAGAAAACAGAAAGTAACAGTGAAATGAAATGAAAAGCTGAGTATAACGTATTAAAAGACGTGGATAACTACGGTAAAAGGAAAAGCACTGGAAGGCCAGCAATCCTATCACACCGTGACACGATAGCAATACTTCGTGGAGCATCAAATTCTTGTGCTACTGCAAGAGAAATTGCTTGTAAAGCTGGTGTACATACTAATATTCAAAATGTTCAAACGTTGAATTTGCGAAAAAACACATACTGAAGGAAAACCTATAATATAATCTTTAGAAATGAAAAACGGTTTTGTCTGGATGGTCCAGATAGTAGTGCATACTATTATCATGACATTCAGAAAGGACAATTAACAAAAATTAGACGACAAATGAAAGGAGGTGGAACAATGATTTAGGCCGGCATATGTTACAAAGGGAAAACGGATATTAATTTTATACAAGGAAAAATGAATAGTGCAAGTTATTTGAAATTAATTAAAAACCAAATTGATAAGTATGCACAATGCATTGCAGGTACAAAATTTGTGTTCCAGCAAGGCAATGCTGCCATACAAACGGAAAAAATTATTCGTAAATTTTTTTCACAGGAGAAAATTTCTGTTTTAGTATGGCCGGCCTGTTCTCCGAATCTCAACATAATTGAAAACTGTTGGGGATTATTATCAAAAGCTGTCTACGCAGAAGGTAGACAATTTGAAAATTTAAATGATTTAAATATCTGTATTAAAGGGGAATGGAAAAATTTATTACTATGTTCGATTGAAGTATTGTATAAATCCTTAACAAAAAGGATGATAGAAGTAATTGAAAAATACGAAGGTCCCACAGATTATTAAACACAGGTACAGTTATATCATTTTTGTATTTGTCTATTTTAAATTTATATAATATGGTATATTTTTCAGATGTGCTATCATTTTGTCTGAATTCATTTGGGGTATTTGTATTTTTACTGAGAGAATTCATAGAAGAAAAGTCAATAAAAGTTATGTTTACATACTAGTAGACGGTAGACTTTATGTATCATTTGCACCTTCCCTATGCCATAATTGTAACGCGAGAAATTAAAGATAGCACACGTGTTTATTCAAACCACAGCAATTTTCATTACATTTTAACAGAAGGAAAACATGTTAACACTGTAATCCTTCAAGTGTTTTATATAATTTTGAATGTGTACACGTATTAGTATAATTATTTATAAGTGGTTACGAGTATACTAGAAAAAATCGGTGTACATGTACTTGTCAATTATAAATTGGTATAAATTAGTGTAAATTGCAACAAAAGGACAAATATTTCCATTGAATTTTTAACAGAATTTATGTATTTATTGTTTAAAGACTTAGTAATATTATTTAGAGCACTTAAAATGTGTTGATTCACAAAGAGACAAATAATCGATATTAAGAATTAAAAAAAATTTCTATTATACAATCAAATATTTGGAGAAGAAGAATCGAAATATAAAAGGTTCATTTGCTTTTTGAGAATAGAAATATATTCCGTACGGTTAAACTTACTGATTAGAATAATCAAATCTATAATTCTATATTCAAATCCTATCTCATTGTTTCCTGATTGTCATGTTTTATTTAGCAATGTTTAGTATATTATTATTTGAAAATTTATTAAAATTACGTATATTTTTCTTGCTTTACCTAAAATGTACTTCAAATAACAGCAACGAGCTTTGTTTTCTCCATGAAAAGTATAATCACCATTAAACAAAAAATTGGAGGCTGTTAAACAATTTTTGAATGAGGAAAATACTAAATCAACACAGGAACTATTCAGCATGTATTTACCCTTTTCCCATATTCAAAGGAATGTTTTGATAAAAATTAGTAATTTAATGTTCTGTTATATGATAAGAATTTCTTTACAATAATACTTTTTGCCAATTCTTTAATTACATTATTTTTGTACAAGAAAGAATATTTGCGGATAATGTGAATTTTTATTTTACAAAATGTCCAACTTTCTATGATATATTTCGAATTACGTTTAAAAACAGAAACAGAAGGTGCAAATGTGAAAGGACGAATGACACTGCACGACATTTCTTACTGTGCCCAATAACAATAGGACCTGCTGGGACATGTTCATCGACTATGTTGCCGTAGTAGTGCTTATTACCACTTCTAGGGGCTGAACACCCCTTAGCTAGCGACAGATGGGCGGTAGAGGGAGTCCCAGTAATTATTATGCGATTACCCACAAGCCCATTGATTTAGATTGGACCCGGGGGGCGCAGTATACGACACTGGGCCCGTCTTCAAATTTGCTACGCATCACTCGTTAGAAACTTGACTACATTTTCAAGAAGGTGCGATAAATGAACAACTTTTTTTCAAAGAATGTCTTAATAACGTATTGTTCATATAAAAAGTGAACTACATCGGAGACACGATATGTAGGAATTAATTTATTTTAAAAACAGCTTGGAATGAAGAATACGAGGAGCAAAAAGAGATGCAAGTGCATATTGATGTTACAAGACATGCTTACTTGTTTATTTTAATCATAAATTCAATGAAGGTGTTTTCACAGCGAAAATATATTGTTATAATTAAAACACCAGAGTTAATATGTATTACATTATTTAAAAAATACCTTAACAATGTATTAACTACATAAGAAGTGAACTATCCAAGGAACAATATTTATAATTTAATTTATTTCAAAATCATCTTGAAATGAACAACACGATGAAACAGACGAGCAAACGTATATTAAAGTTTCGAAGCATGTTTAGGACTAATTTTTTAAAGTATAGATTGGAGAAAAAGTATTTGCATTGGGAAAATCTATTGCTACAATTGAACACATCAAAGTTAGCATACTGTATCATGAATAATATTAAACGTGAACAAAAGAAACGTTGCCACTGTTAAGAAAAGTTCGAATCACTATTGTGACTTTTGAAACGAAAAAGGGCAAATAGAGGTGTCATTTCTTGCCGTGTTTGCTCTCGAATTTAACACTCGAAAGTATATACAGGACAATCGGAGATAGGTGTTAAAAAACACACAAGACAGACAGGAATCCGGGGTACTTACGAATCAATTTTCTATAGGCTTACGGCGGTCGAGTGAGAATGCATATGTTGAGGGTGCCCCAAGGGGCTTTCCATGCAAGTGGACCCCCCGGGTACGCACCCCAGTTGGAACAGAACACCCTCGATCTCCCTTCTTCGTTCTAGTGTCGAAATCTATAAATAATTTATATCATTTGGTCCATTCACCGAAAGAGCCCATATGTACCTGTGTCGCCTTACAGGGGATCTGTGACCGCTTCAGATTTTTCGTGCAGAACATTATTAAGAATCTCGGTTTGGTATTTGTTGCACAGTCATTTGATCGACAGATTACAACCAGTTGCATTTGTATCTGTTTTATCAGAAACAATTTAGCATTCATACTTCTTTCGATTGATTTTACAAATTTTAATCTTTATATAGGCACATTGATCATATTCAGTTACCGCAATGTATACAGGCGTGCAAAGTTTACATAACATTTCGTTATTTGGAGTTTTGTTATTAATAAACTATAGAATCTTATGTATTTATAGCCTACAAAAATATTCAAAAGCAGGCGTAGTAATAGAATTTGAATAAAGCTGAATGTAGTGTTATTTTATTGAAGTTATATACATTATAGTATTTTCTTAGAACATAAATGAAATGAAATTATATTTTTACTTTCAATTTCAGTTAAGTATGTTTTTTATTATGATAACAACATAATATTGGTAAAAAGGGGTTTTGTTTACTTAAGGAATGCTACTAACTTTGAAATCATAACCTGCCTAAAATTTTTGAAAAGTAATGTATATGTTACCCTTATCAAATTGAACATTTCTAAATACGTGTTATAAATTTTCAGTATTTAAGGTGTTTAAGTTCATTTTTAGGAGGAATAACGTACTTACCACGTACATACAACGAGAACGTTTATACGTATATTAAAAATAAGGGTAAATGTACAGTTTAGCAGATTTTTCTAATTTTTGTTATTTGCTTAGTACTGATTCACAAAAACATTTGAAACTGGATTTGGGTTCGCTTTGGGTTTGTGATAAACTGAAACTTAAAAAATCACTATAGCTAAATACACCAAAATTGGAAAGACGCTTTCCAAAGAACTATACATTTACCAAGATGAAAAATGTAAACGTTAATGATAGTAACAGTCGCATTAATTAATACAAAATTTTAACAGAACTCAAAAGAAGAAGCATCAACAAAGAAATTTTAATAGTACCTAATATTAAAACCAAAGGAACCCTTTAAAATTGACATTATTTTAATTTGTTGCGTAAATATATCTTCATTCGTTTCATTCTGAACCAAAGAAAATTTCAGATTGTAACACGTTTTGGGGTAAAAGGTTTTCTGTCGAAAATCTCATCCTTACGGATTATTTCATACGAGGGAAATTTAATATCACGAAATCGGATATTCTGCTTGCAAATGTGTTTTTAAATAACCCGCGCCCTTTGTCTTCCGATATTCAGCAACCGAGACTATCGGAGCACGATCTTTAGCGCAGCATCGAGAGGGGTATCTCGCTACCCTCGAGTTAGGTTAGCTTAACCTAGCGTCGTGATGTTACCGGAGTCGCGAGTTGCGACTTGATCCAGCCAAATTCGCGATATATAGGTAAACAATGGGTTATAATGCTACTTTACCTTGACTCGAGAACCTCGAACAACCGATTATTGATAGTGAAATGTGGTTTACACGGTGATTTAATTTTTCTCCGTTGATATTTCCGGTGGTGTTTCAGACTAGACTTCGCACGGGGAGATCGCGTGTCACTTATCGACGTTTTTCACGGAGTTTGCGTATTGGAGGAGTTGCTCGAGCCTGTTCTTTCTTCAAGCGGGTCACACGGCTTTCGTATTTCGTAAATGAATAGGAAACTCGTTAAACCGATATTTATGTGCTGCAATAGACGAAGATATTTTTTTTATCGTTATAAACTTAACCATCGTTATTGAAACTATTAATCTTGAAAAGAAAGGGAGAGAACAGCGTTTTCTAATGATACTAGAATCGCTTTTAGTTAGGAAAGCTATTATTTTTAAAAGTATCAGAAATAAATAGCTGTCTATGTGGCAAATAATTTTATCTATGTCACGATTTACTTTTTCTAGGATTAATATATAGTATTAATGAGTAATATAACATATAAATAATTCAACATGGTATTGTAAGTATTCAGTAGTATATGGTATTATATTATAGATCAATTACGTTTATCAAGTTACGATCATTTTCCTAAATACTTGAAAGACATTTTAGTGAGTTTACATTTACACAATGAGACACATTCTAATGTAGTAGATTCATTATACTGTTAATATAATTACTGTGTTTATTTAAATGTTTACCGAGAGAAATTATCCATTAGAAGTACTAATGTAGTTTTTTATTAGTATCTTTTATTTAAGCGGATGAATTTTAATAAATGCGAAATTTATTAAATATATATTACCTGAAAAATTGTAATACATATGTGAGGAAAATAAAGATGTAACCTATAAATTGTAATGAATTGGATAATTAAATATAAATGTTTATAAAGTGTTATTTGTGTCATTTAATACCTTGTTGTTATCTACATTTCATTTCACATGTTATTATTATGTTACACTACTTTGTAGGTTCTTCAAAAAATAATTTCAAGTAATATTAAAATGATTAACCTTGCCATGACTTCGTTACTTTTTTTAAATTTGAAACAAAATGATAAATTTTACAACATATTTTATTCAGAAGAATAAAACATTTACATTTGCTTCACTTTTTAAATACCGTTCATTGTACAAGTGGCTTTCTTTGAATAATAAATTTTGAGATATAGGTATTTTATCATATCATGTTAACTTAATCATTTTTAAGTTTTACATTTTATAAATATCTCTATAAGTTTGACTATTAATTGGAATTATTAGAGAAATTTGTTTTAATACCATTGTAAATTTATAAAATATCGAGAATTATTTTAATTTACTATCAGTATAAAAAAGCGTTTGCTTCGACAAATGTTCGATAGAGTTCATTAAAAAAGAATAATTTAATTTTTCTAAGAAAAAATTATACAAATATATAATTAATATAAATCAAACAATTTTATTCTGTACACGTTAGGAAGTTTAAAGAAACGTACATATTTGTAATAAAAAATTTTGATAGGAAAATGTGTAACAGAAGTACTTACTATAGTACTATAAAAATAGGATTTTTATGTATTAAAGGTATATGTATACGTTTGCGATGGAGTCAGATTGCGTACAGCAACAGGAAAAAATATTTATACATTCATTCACACATCGTTCATAATTGGTTTCATTTGACAATATGTCTCTTTTTCTAATGTGGAATTAAGTTGAAAATTATTTACACCAGACTACATCATTGTTCATAATTAAGCTCTCTAAAAGAATAATTTTATGTAAATATACTTTAACCCTGCTGCTGAAAAGAAAGAGCATTTCTGTTAATTTATAAAATGTTTATGAAAAATTATTTGTCACATCAATCGTACACGGTTAATATTTTCTCTTGATGGTCCATTATATTGTATAAAACATTAAAAAATATGACTCAAATCTAATTCAGATCTTTTTGTAAAACAATCTTCGACAGATTGCTTCTATCCAATTTATTTTATTTTAAACGATATAAACGATGGTTTGTTTAAATATATAATAATAATAGAAATCATAAAAGTTAGTAGTGTCTATTCTGTAGTATAATCTAAATACTATTTATTATTAATAGTTGTTTTCCAATATTGAAATCGATTACGAATCGAACAAGTAGCTAAGCAAAAAGAAGTGATTTTGCAGCCGTCTGGAGGCGAATGTGGGAACTGCCATTAGAACTTCCTTCATCCCTGTACAGGTGATAAATAAGGACAATACCACGGATACGTTACAATGGTCCATTTAGGTGAAAAATTCCTTAGAACTAAGAAAGTCTATCAAACTTTATTGTTGTAATTTACTCGATCTAATGCTGTTATTTATTCGACCTAGTCGTCATTCATTTTCTTTGTGGACGGTGCATATAGAAGAAAGTTTGGTATTTACTTCGTGAGTTGTTGACTAATATTAAATCAAACTAATTGCAAGCGATGAAAGATATAGACACAATTTTCTTTCCATGAATATCGATGTTGATTGTTAAGTTGCAGAGATCAGCATATTGTATAGATTTTTTCTCACTCCTCTGCTGATAATGGTGGCTTCTGTGTCATAACAGGTAAAGAGACACTATCATTCGACAGGTAAACGAACATTTCACTGACCATATAAAAATATGATCATTTTATAGTAAGTACTGCTTACTGAAACATACGAACACTTGTGTGAAATATTTGTTATTGACACTGTTCTTATTTCTGGTTCTTTTATAGTTCAATTATTGACTTGCTGTGCCGACTGGGAAATTATAAAACTAAATAAATAAAAAAACACTCTTTCTGTTTACTTAACTAGTAATTCAGTTTTGTTTCCTTAATCAATGTGTAATTTTATGGTTTCATAAACTTTTATTATAAAATAAACGATTTTGAAAATCTTTCAATTTATCTTTATCAGTATTTATCTGACCTTTCGTCAAGAAGAGTAAGTATCAGTGTCGCTACGAAAAAATGTTATATTGATTACATATGTCACGAATGTAATAATCGATCAGTGATAAGCGAGTTAATGACTGAAATACTTCAACATCAAATCTTTTTCAAAGTTTTTCATAGCATGAAAGAAGTAATTGTTCGATAATGGAAATTTAACAAAAATGTATAGGAACATTTACATTAGAAAAATTACACAGTAAGTTTGTTGTTTAATTATCAGATGCAATTCATTATAGCAAAACACATCGAGTTTTACAAAATTGTAGATTCCCTTGTTCTGTCGTGGACATTGGAAGACTGGTAATGGATTTTGTAGTCCCTCTGTGAACTTTTTTCGTTGATCTGGTGAGATTTGCGGTTTTGGGCGCTGTTGGCCGTCTGTTGCTACAAATCGACTTCGGTTCATGTCATCCATCCGTCTGGTGGGTGCACCCTTGCTTGTGGTTGCTGCTGCTCTTGTTAGAATTCTACTATTTCTCTGCATATTTCAAGGTTAGCATTTATGACGACTGTAAGGGATATAAGAAACGTGATGGAAAGAGAGAGGCAGAAACGAAAGTAAATCATTACTGCTATCAGTAAACAATGTCAATTTCATGTTTCTTTTTCCACAATTATTGAGAAAGTAGAAATGATTTTTAAAGAAACTATTATAAAAATTGATTTACTATGTGCACACTGAAAAATAAGTCAACTGAAATTTTGATAAATTCATTCTTGTAATTTGCATAAAAAAATACAAACTAAATGAGTTCGATAATCGAAGCGGTGTCTGAACATATTTATATTAACTTTTTCAAAAACTTTCCATCACTTATCAGCTTCTGATAGTTAATATAAATTGTCAGTTATTTATATATTGGGACGAATACGAAGATCGATATATCTTGGAGGAATACATTTCAGAATATATTCTAGATGTATCTACAGTAATTAATAAATCCCCAAAAACCATATTAATCAAATTAAAAACTATAATATTAAAACTATAATAGCCCTCGCTTAACAGACGTGGGTTTAGTCTTTTACTGTGTCCATTATTCGAGGAAGTATATGTTTTAGAAATTACTTGTAATTGAGTTGCCTTGGTTTACCAGCTTTTTAACGACAAATATCGTTTTGGACCGAAATAAAGAAAATGGTTCGAACAGTATCAGCAATTAATGTGGATAATGCTTTGCCTATTATATGGGGAGAACTTTAGAAATCTAAACAATTATTACAAAGTGTGTTGCGAGTTGCAAAATAAAAGTTATGTCAAATAAATATTTGATATTAAACTTTTATCAAATTGAGACTGAAAGGTTATATAACCCACTTTCAAGATAAAAATGTATTTGATTAGCGTAAAAAATTATCGAGGAACTTGTAGTCTGAAGAAATTATATTTGTAAAATTACCTACCTATAAAAACATTTCATAGTAACATTGCTAATTTAGAAATATAATAAAGAAATATGCTCTATACCGTAAAACAGTCATGAATTTCCCAAAAAATTTTCAAACTCTATTCAGGTATATCTTTTGCTGAATTTAGTTAGACTAAAATTTGGAAAAATATCTTTATACCAAATATAAAACGCACAAACATGTTCAAGAATCTTCAGCGTTTCATTTTAATAGAATAGAGCGAGTAATACTTATAAAACTAAATGTGTACATTTCATGCATTTACATTTCATAACTGAAAAGGAAATAGTAAAACGATATCTTCGTCATTCTATTTTATCAGATAAATATCTATTAAAATGGGGAAACTTTGTGTATAATAATAAATTCAAATTCTAAAAGTCTTATATAATTTAAAATTGCGTAACACGTTTTTATTATTCCCTAATTACTGTACATAAACCGATCGAACAGTAATATTGTTTATGATAATTGTAATTAATTCTAATTGTGATTATAAATTATAGATAATTCTTACATTGGAAAATTGTACCTCAAGTGTTTTATAAATTATTAACGATTTGAATTTATATTATGATTTATCACTTATATGTTATATTCATTTACCACCATTTCTCAGTACAGTTATTCAAATCTGTTTTTAAGATAAAGAATATTATAAAAGCTATCATTATAAAGTTATCAAAATAAATATGTATAATTAGGTAATTCTTTTCAATATAGTGGATTAATTGAAGGATGTAAATTTAATAAAAGTAATTTGGGTACTAAAATGGTTTAAATTCGATTGA